CCCCAAAACCCCAAAACCCCAAAACCCCATGATTTAAAATTAACACGTAACTAAGTATAAAGTTATTAATAAATTAAAGATAAAATGGCAAAAGCATTTCAGCCTCAATATAATGACTCAGCCTTCTTATTCCTTATGATCACTGCACAATTCTTTATTATACTCTATCTCATTATATCTCTAACTAGAGTACTTCTCTGTAGCAAAGGAGATAAGAAATCTGGAAGAACCTCTTTGATTGTTAAAGGGGTCCTCTTGATGTTATTTACCTATTGGTTCTATTTGGTATTGAACTTAATCTAAACAGATCAAGAAAGCTCATTGTCTAAAGATTTCGACCCTTATGAAATTTTAGAGGTACCAGTTGGAGCCTTTAATACTCCAGAAATTAAGAAATCTTACAGAAACAAAGCAATTAAATATCATCCAGATAAGCATGTAGGGAGTCCTGATATTGACACCTTGAAATAAAAGTTTGCAGAACTAGTTAAGGCATATGAGATTCTCACTGACAAAAAGAAGTATGATAATTGGCAGAAATATGGTAATCCAGATGGATCAGTTGCATATAAAGCAGTGGAAATTGCCTTACCAAGCTTCTTGCTGAAGCCTGAAAACTCAGGTACTATCCTTGTCGTGTTCTTATTAGTATTTATTTGTTTGCCTATTGGTTCAGTCATTCAACAGTAAAAAAGATTTAATATCTTTTAATTTTTTAGCATGAAAAGGAGAGAAAGATTTCATAAGAACGGCCTTCAAAATGAGAATAGAATAAGAATGCTCTAAAAGATTAGTGAAATCGTTAAATCCTCTGGAGGAAGATTCAATCTTACTGACGATTAAATCCTTTCAGTATATGAAGAAATTGTAGAGATATAGTAAATAAATGAAAAGGTAAAATTATTCTTGCTTAAATAAGATTAGTTGGGCAAGAAAAGTACTGCCAGAGATCTAATTTAATCTAAAATTAACGGCAAAAAGGTTTCTGATGAATTTCTTTAATTTTAAGATGAAATCTTGAATGTAATTCCAAGAGCTAATGAAGTAAAACAACTAGTTTATAATATGTTTAGATTCTTTATGATGATCATACAGCCATGATTCTTCTAAAAGGTAGAATCCATTTAGAAACTAAGAACATTACTTTATCATTTAACATTCAAGAGATCTATTAGTCATTTGGTAGAATCACTGAGAAGATTTTCCAAGAAGAAGCTTAAATATTAAAAGATGCTTACACCATTGAATTGAAATCATATGTTGAAGATCTTGATCCAAGTGAACCTATTTTAACAGGCTACATCCTCACTTAAGAAATTTAGGTAAAATAAAACATAGAAATTTCACAAGAAAACCTTCAAATGCTACCTAATATCTTCCATACTGGAATACTTTATGATGATACCGATTAAAAGCCAGAATAACTATTTGCAGTGTAATTGATCTCAGAGAAAATGAACAACTAAAAAGCAAGAAGCGCTAAATTCCCAGTGATTTAGAAATTCTAACAACTAATGAGGCAAATCGGAGCCAAGAAATATTCTGTTGTTTTGTTCAGTAGTCTCGGATAAATGATTAAAAGCAATTAGACTTTCGTCAGGGTAAGAAAAGGAGAATTTGTTCCATAAGGAGAAGATGTTCCTCAGTTCAATCCCCCAGAAGAATGATGGAAAAATAGATCTTAAACTTTCTTCAAATTTAATTTCATGACTGCAAATAAATTCCTAAATCAACCCACTCGGGGTTTTGGGGTTTTGGGGTTTTGGGG